AAATTTATTTTTTCTTTAAGTTTAACTGCATCATTTTAATTTTCTGCCATGAGCTGGCTGTTGATTTTTTAAAAAAACTTCAATCTGAAGCAACTGAGAATAACTTCAAGGGTGTTGAAGGACATTTCTTGCGTACTTTGTACTGCTGATGCCTATTACTGTTTCTTTTATAAATATGGATAACATGCATATAACCCAACTATTTCCACCTACTCACACTTACAATATATTAAGAATCATTAAATGTCCCTACAAAATTTGTTTTGTTGTGTTATGCCTTACACTAGAGGATCACATTCCCTACTCTGTTCCAAATTTATTGTTGCAAGCTTGGAGATGTGCTTTGCTACACATTCAAATCTGGTGCTGACACTTTAATGTGCAGAGGGTATAAAAAAGGCAAATTCATCACAAAGTACTGGCCTTACCATCACACAGTGAGCAGATACTTCAAGTCTACTAAAGGGTGACCTGCTTAAATTTGGATAACCCATATTCATTAGGGAATAAAGTCTTCTATTGATGGTCTAAACTGTCCATAAAACCAGCTGAAATAAAGCGTTTTCTTACAAAAGTGCATAAAACAGAGATCACACCAGCCCACCCTAGCTGCACTGCTTTCCTTCCCTGACAATGTAAGCAATACAGACACATGTTTAAAAAAATCAGTCTGTTGGCTGAATCTGACACAGCTGAGTGTAGGAATTTTGTAGGCTAGATTACTTTCATTGGGCCAAATAGTTTCAAAAACAACTGATGGTAAAAGTAGTAGCTTCCAACTACAATTTAACTTGTATTTCATCCATTTATACCAAAAGTTATTATGCGAGATTGCTTTCCTTTTTGAGGCAGGCACTAAAGTAAAGGAGTTGAGGGTCTGTTTAACTTCATTGTGTCCTATGAACAAAAAAAATCTTTAGATCTGAAACCATGAAAATAGTAGGTGAAGCTTTCTGGGCTTAGATGCATTCATAATTCAGGACAATTGATCCTGGCATTTCAGTTCCAGCTGATTATTGCATTATTTACGCTTCTTTATGTTTTGGGTCTCAACTCCATCCCTTCCCCACTGGGAGCCATAGACTGCAATTTGCTTGCATTATTCCGCCTTTTGTATCAGAATTGCCTAAGAAATGAAAACAAATGGAAGGAAATAAACATAAAAGCCATGAGGACCTAGTTTATGATTATTTTATAATCCAATATTTAATCCTATGAGGTATTCTAGGCAGTCTGCAATATATTATATGTCACAAAACAAACTGCTCATTCTATCCCAATCTAGTTTTCCACAAGTGAAGTACCTTTAAAAGGCTGACAGATTTTTAAAATTTGTATGAATTGACTACAGGCTTATTACAGCGTCTTCATTTCTGGACTCAAAGAAACAATGACTTACTGAACTCAGCAAATAGGTTACTTGCAAATAGCTAATTATAAAATAATACGAAAATAAATGAAAGGACAAGGTCAAAAAGTCCCCTTCCTGTTCTGTATGCACAGACTCTACATGAAACTTTCAGCTGCTGTCTTGGTTTTAACTAGAAGTCAGAGAAAGAACAATATCTATCATATGGCTGCTTAGGTCTATAGATTTGACAAACACGATGTCCAAGAACTTTTCCAAGAGATAACAAAGCCTACCATTCAATCATCTTTTGCTATAATTTACAACATGCTCTGACTTCATGAAGGATCATCTTACACTAACCTTACTTACAGTGAATGGGATCACGATGCACAGCTAATTTAAACGATTCCTGTAAAACAGGGTTGGATTCAAGAAATGTCTCAATCCAAGCCTGTCTGTAGGGATACAGTGGTATGGAGAAAAAGTGGTTTAGGGTTTCTGTCACGTTGTTTGCAGGTCGAGTAACGGCAGCATTAGTGTGCTGACAAAGCCCAGAGGGAAGAGTGGGTGGGGACATATTATGTGCTGCGCATTGAGACCTAACAATGTCCAGGGATTTGAATTCTAAGATGAACTCCACCTAAGGACTGAATTAACTTGCAACTGCTGACCAAAGGCAGTACCCTATTCATCTGAAAAAAGGCAAGGTAAATCTCCACCTTCACAATATAAAACTGGCCCTTGGCAGACAAAGGAAGATAAAACTTGCAGCTGCAGAAAAAAATAATGCATGTACCCAAAGATAGAAATTTCCTCACAGAATTTCAAGTGGCATCAGCCACCTCTCATGTTTTTGTCATGGAAGGGTGGGGAGGGGTGTCATATGTTTAGATATGTTGAATATCATGTTTAATCTTGCCTAATTATAAGGGGCTTCTGCTCATCATGCAGATTATCAAATTGTTTCTTCATGAGGCAGCAAAGAGGCACAGTATATATGTCATGGTAGACTCCCAAAACACCACACCCACCTAACCCTTCTGCACTGACTTTAAAGAAACAAGCGTTTCACATTATCCTGCTGAGTTTAGTACCTAATTTTTAATTTGTTTTCTACTTTCTTTTCAGTGCTCTGATCAAAAGTTATCATACAATAACTCATAACATTTTCAGAAAAATTCATAAAATATTTTAGCATGGACACATATTTAAAAGAAATTTACAGATCTGTTGTCAAAACAATTTAAGAAACTGCTAACTGAAAGAAAATTAGGTTTTCAAATACCTAAAATGTAATTAGAGTTTCTAGAATAATGCAATTTTTCAGATACTGGAAGGTCTAACACAGAACAAGTCCTCATGATTTCTGCAATCCTTAGTTCAGTAGGCTGTGAGAGGGTAGGCAGGAACGAATATAAACTGCTTTATGATACCTACTAAAACCTTTATACTGGCCATTTTAAATAGTTCTCTCAAATTATCCACTAGGTATTTTATTTCTAGAAATTAAATTTCTCCAGATTACTCCCAAATGTATTCTGCATCAAAAGCATTGTTCAATTTTTCATTTCAAATGCATATTATATGAGTTTTTAAAAAATTACCTGAATTTATACAACAAAGTTTAAGTTCTGGTAGCAGCACATATATTTAGAAGACTAAAAGGGCCTGTTAACGTTAAAGTAATTTATGTTAAAGTTCATGTTTGTGTCCCACTCTGACATAAACAACCATCCACAGCCCCTTGTTATTTAGAATACCTCCTTCGAGACACAAAGACCAGGATCACATAGCCCAGTGCCACCCAGATTTAGATGAAAAAGAAAAAGCTGAAGGCTGCACAGGGGCATCCCATTTACTATGTTTTTTCCCTCCAAAAGAGACAGTTGGAGATGGATATAAAACAAACAGATAGCACACGTATGTCAGTCAACATTGTGGAGGCACACGCAGGACATGCCAATTTCATATTAAAAGAATTGTTTAATATAAGGTTTTTGAGCTGCATTTGAAAACTTGGAAATGCAAGATGGTTACTACCTCTCTTTATACAATTTTATTTTGGGGAATATTATTAAAGATATTTTAGTGATATAAAGGAGAGACAGTTTTCTGTGACACAAGATTTATAAATTACAAGAGAAGTGTGCATCTGGATAAAAGATTTCCTAATTTTTTTCTCTGTTTCTTAAGACAAAAATTCTTAAAGAGTTTGTATGCTTTGACATACCAATTATTCTACAGCTAGCAGTTATTCTCAAGGAAGGATGCATTTATCTAGATCCAGCTATTTGGTTTTATTCAGTTTCAGCTATTTAGAGAAATGCTTTATTGAGTTTACAAATAAGGACTCTCAATATTCTATTTCCATTTCCCTTTCTATAGCATAAATCATCTGGCCTAGGCATGTCATTATGGCTATAGTTTACGTGATGCAACATGACAGTTAAGATGTACTGTGGTAATTTGAGTGCTTTCAGCGTTATTGTAGTATCAAAAATTTATATGGTTCAGTTATTAAGGCAAATTGCTTCATTCATACAGCAATATCTGACAGTAACCACAAAGGACCTCCAAATTACACTGAAAAAATATCTTCCACATTCAAATAATGTGTGCATATTCCTACCATTATTTCGCTCACTGACTAGAAGCAAGATGAAATTCTGTCAGTAAAAGTATCAGTTCATATTTCAGGGTAAGTTCACCAGACATGCAATATTACAGAAGAAACTGCCCCTTGCCCAGCTAAGTGAGCCTGACTCTCTTTAACAATTTATAGGCCATGAACAGGATGCCCAATTCTTTGGAATGATGCTATTTAGTTTCAATGTGCTCACTTACCTTCTGTCTTGTTGATTTTCAGCCAACAGGAAGAAATAAATAAATAAGAGGTTGACTAGCCTGAAGAGACTACAGAGGAAAATGTGCTCAAATACACCAGTGTTAGCATTTCTGATAAGTTTTAGTATAATCAGGGTTACAGGAAATGGAAAGTTGTTAAGCTTTCTTCACATTTAAGACTCATTCAGTCTTCAGTTCTAGTCTCTGGAAAAAAGTGATATTTTCATGAAAGTATTTTGGATTTGGTATTAACCTGTGGGGCGTGAATATGTGCATACATGCACGCTTAGATACATGCAGACTTAAATACCTGCATCAGAACTGTCACAAAGCATTTTCTGAGTTCCAGGGCAGAAAGCTCCCCACACACAAGTTTCCTGACAAACACTAAAGTTTTGCAACACACCTCCACAGCATCTGAAACACAACTTACATCTCTGAAAAGCAGATGAGGGAACTGGTTTTGAAAGCAGAGGACAAGGTGGGAAGAGAGCAGGCCAACCTGAACCACATACCAGCTAGTTCATTCAAAAACCAATGCTGTGAACTGAACTTGCTGGACTTCTCTAACACCCAACAGCAGGAGACCAAAGAGGGCTCAAGGTTGAAGATACTCAGTTAATTTGGTTTACCTAACTTTTTGCCTCACAAGGATACTACACACAAGTGATTCCTTTCTGTTTGCAATTTTGCTGGTCAAATAGTTAACCAATTTTATCCTAACTCTGTTCCACCCTCCTTCAAAGACTTACTTTTTTTCTCAATAAATCTAATTAGTGTTTAGGCAAGTACCACTTGCACTTACTTTGTTGCCCAAATAAGAACTGGGTGCGCTCCAATAGTAAAGCTGTGGAAGTACTTTTTGCGCAGCCACATTGCTGATGCTAAGCTGCTGACGCCCATCAAATCTCTCTTCCATGGGGATAACTCTGATGAGACCTGGTAAGTCAGTCAGATACCAACCATTCATGTCTTCTATCTAAAATGATAGGAAAATAAATAAATAAATAAAAGCCACATTACAGTAAGAATCAGGACATTGATAATTTCAATAGTTACAGCCAGTCATTCTTCCATTATTTAAAAAACTGATTAGATTTAATAGCAGTGTAGGCACCAAAGAAAACACGAAGTAATAATGGCAAACATTTCCTATTGTATATGACTGGGAATTATAACTTCTCAGTTTGAAATAACTGCAAGTATTTGCATCCTGGTCCAGAAGAAGGAAATTCCAACATACAAACATATGTGCAAGAGTTATCTACAAATATTTTCCAAGCTTTCAACAAATAATATCAATCACAGATTGTACAGAAGATGACCTGAAAAATGGATATATACTTTCTGATATGTAGGCAGCATAGTTTATACTACTTTTCAATTCTACAACCTTACAACTTAACAAGGCCAAATATACTTTTTATACTTTTACACCTTTTTGTTGCTGGAAAGCACCAGGATTTGAATTTCTGAAATCCTGTAACTAGAAATGAGTCATCAGTGAAGAGCACACTGTCCATACAAAGATGGTTTCTGGAGCCCGTATACAAGCAGAACAATAAATGAGCTCAGCCATGGAATGGAAAATTTCTCAGTTGCTGGCATGTAAATGAGAACATTAGACATATATGATGTTACTTGCAGACTTCCAGCATAACAATACGGCCAAAATCCAGACCTGGAACACATTTCCCAAACTCAATCTACAGGCATGAATATGTAGCAAACATCCGTTTCAGTGGCATCAGTGTCTGAGCGTTGAGAACTAATTTACAGTTTAGAGTACATTTGCAGGCTAAAGACATTTTTCTACAGTGCAAATAGGAAGAGTAGGTTCATCTCCCTCTCACATCCTTTCCAAGGAATGCAGCATACAAAGAAATGCATTCAAAATCTCCCTGAAAGGCATTCCTTTTTCTTACTTAAGCTGTGTGTTGTACATTGAGTGTTTCCAAATTCTTAATTACTTAAGGTTTAGAAATTTAATAATTACCTAGAAAAGAGGTTGCCCTATGGATATGATGCATTTAACTCAGGAGTGATTATGTATGCACATTACAGGACTGTGTTACTGTGTTTATGCATATGGCTTCATTTTTTTATTGTTATAGCTTCTTTTGTGCTTTTCACTGTTCTAATTGCTCTATTTCAGAATTTTCTCACAAAGAAGAGAGACAAAGCTTACAAGCATTTTCTTCTGGATTAATGAAAAATACCATAAAATTGTATAGATTTTATTAATAGCTGCAGTTGAAAGGGACCCACAAGGAACATGCATGATTTTCTAATAAGAAAAAGCCTAGTGACAATGGTTAGTGACAACACAAAAAACACAGAGCAATGAGATGTGCTGCTATGGTATGATTTTTCTTACACTTCTGTAGGTAAAGGCAGAGTGTGTGCAGATGTTTGTTTTCCCAGAGCAGAAACACTCCTCACAGCCTTCAGGATTATTTTGCTGAAGATTGAAGAAGCCTGGTTTGCAACGGTCACAGTTTTCTCCTTCAACATGTTCCTGGAAAGGCACATTAGAATATTACTACAGTTGACATAGATGAGAATTAGGCATTTTTATTCTTCAGGCTTTTTATTCTTCAGAAGGATTCTAAAGACATTCATAGGAAAGACTTATTTGTTAATGTTAGAAGCAAATCCTTTACACAGTAAAAGGTGCTATGTGTCTGCATGTAACTAATAGGACATGAAATACGGACATTAAAAGAGTCACCATTCCTCATCTCTAGGAATGGACATACTTAATTTCAGGTAAAAATCTAATTTATATCCTTTACACTTGGGAGTCTCAGAGGGGTAGGAGGTAGGGGACAATGTTACGACCTCAACAGCTGTAGTATGTAGGTAGGGCTGACAAAATCCATGCACATCCAGCTGATGAAAACTACAGGTATGTGGCAGTAGCTGTACTAATCACTCAGAGTGATGAGAGATCTGTCATTAATAGCTGAATTCAGGATAAAAACAAGAGCTAAACAGGCTACACTTCTTCTTTCCATAACTACATGTGTTTGCCAGCCATGCAGCCAGGTTTGGAAACTCGTCCCCTGCAAGAAGACAGGTACTAAATATACATGAGCTATTCTAAACTTAGCATTTTGTACATATACTTTTCATAGAAAGCTTATGTTGTACATTAAGTCCTACTGTCTTACACTATAAATCAATTTGTCCTATAGGCAAAATTAAAGCTATGTTTTCTACATGGTGTGTGTGGCAGAAGGCTCATGATATGGTGCTGGCTTCGTAATTCAGTATTTTCACCAACACAGTTCAGAAAATACTCCCCGTTTCACAGGTATTGTGCACAGTCTCTTCAACCCTGGAGACAGCACTCTGTGGAATGCACACAAGACTGAACTGTTGGCTTTACATCAGCAGAGAATGAACACATCATAAAAACCCTGCCCACACTGTGTAGTCTAGGATAGCTCAAAATACACAGCTCTGAAGAAAATTCACTGAAGGCCATTTGATAGCCTCCTGGTTAAGATGTAGCAAACCTGGCAAAAAAAGGGCAAAGCAGGTAGATGTATGGGAAGAAAGCATATCACACATGAATGAAGAGAAAATAGAGACATTGTGCAGGAAGGAGCAACAATTTGAAAAAAAGGGAGATACAAAGAAAATGTAATAATGTTTTTACCACTAATTTTACAGTAACAATATGTATAGCATAGAATCTTTGCTCCGTCTCTACTGCTGTGCTCTACACTCCTCTTCAGTAATATACAGACTATTAAACAAACCACAAATATCTTCAATAAAACTCAAGGTTATAAGGAAATTACATTTAACTTCAACATCTCATGAATCTCAAGACTGGCATTTTTACATTTTCACCAAAAATCTTGGGATTAATCAATGCATATTACCACCATGGGTATGTCAAAATTAACTGGCTACTCATGCTTCATGTGAGTAATAATGTGGGCAACATCTGGGCACAAAGATATTCTCACCCATTATTTAAAAAACTACAAATATGAACACTGGTCCCAAAAGTTTCACACCGTGTTGATGTGCTTAGTATGTGCAGAGCAGGAAGTGGGAAAATAAAAAGAGAGCTGCAAACCAAATGTGTTTAAATGCAAAGTTGCCCACTCCGCAGTCACAATCATCTGTGAGTAAAAGCTGTAGAACTCCATTGAGTAGGCAGCAAATTCAGTGAATAACAGATAAATAAAACTCAGAGTAGGAAAGGAGATCTAACCAATCCTTCAGCAAATAAAACAATGTTTCTGCAACCCCACGTATTTCTCAATACTTTTCAGTGCAGTATTAAGCTATCCAAAGATGAGACTTTGACCATATACCTTCATAAACTTCCAATAATTAGTGAAAAAGGCATTTATAGTTGCCCCCCTCCTTTCTGTATTTTAATTTACTCTAGTTAATGTGGTAAAGATAACAATCTAATGCCCACTTTATTGCATTTTGCTGCTTACAGTCAGGACTGCTTTTCAGCAATTTCCTTTACAAGAAAACTATCTTTAGCAAATTTACAGCCCATCATAGGTAATTGAAAGATGTGATTAAAAGAAAGGAAGCATTTTCCTAAGACCTGCTATTAACCAGAGATCCCACTTTGTTCTTCATATGAAGCATAACTAATCTGATGATTTCAGCGTCCCTTTGACCATATTCTGCTTTGATTTGAATTTGAAAATTGCTAGTGAAATTAAATGTGTATGCATTTGTATCTCAGCTATCTACAAAAGGTATCATTTTTATCCCACAAGCACTTATAAAGGGATTGGAGGAGCACAAAGAAGACAAAAGATGAACACTGAGAGAAAAGTGTATATAATGAGAACTCTCTGGGCTAGGAAAAATTATTTCTATTCCTTATTTGTTCATTTTGGTCTGCGTGTACTAACAGGTCACTTTGGCTTTACATGAATAACATCATAAGAATCATTAAGCAGTATTTATCTGGTATTTAGCATAATACATCTTCATCAAAGCTCCATTTCAAGCCAGGACACAGCAAAATCATCCTCTTATGATCTTCTAGACTTGATGGCTAAGTAATTAGAAATGTGATATGGATGATTTTTTTCTGACAGAGAGCACGTGGCTGTTACATAAAGCGAAGATAAGGTTAATTCTCTGAGTAGATTTCTATGCTATTCACCTGTCAAACCAAAGCTTTGTGTGTGTCTGCAGCATGAGATTGAAGCATTTCTTGTACTTTTCTGTATTTAGGAATGTCATGTAAGTATTTTGAAATTCTCATTTGTGATTAATTCTGCTAACCAAATTTTGGAAGGGAATTCCCACAAGCACAGTAAAGAAAAATTGATCCACAGTACAGGGAGCTGTCCTTTGGGCATATTCATGGCCTCTTACTAGATTGTGACTTAGAAAGCACAACCATTTTTAAAGCCTTTCTGATAGCTAGGCATAAGTGGATGCATGTGCTTTAAAATGTTTTTCATTTCAATATAATAACAAGATATAGTTTGAGGGAAATACCCAATGGCATACAGAGAAAAACCCTCTTAAATTTTCTTCCCAGAAATTAAGAAATTCATCCTACAAAAAGGATAGATTTTCTTTTTTTAAACATGTCAGATATTTCTAAAACAACCATCCCAATGCAGGAAAGAATGTCATATATCCATAATGACTACTCCTAAAAGAAAACCTCCTTGGTTTAATGGATCATCAGGTCACTTCATTTTCTCTTTTTGAAATCACATTTACAGGTTAGTTTTAGAATCCACAATACTGTAAACATATAGCTTCTCAGTAGGTGAGAACAGAGTTTGAAATAAATTACTCACAAGCTTTGTAAGTATCCCTTCATTATAGATTTCTAAGGACTTGTTTGACTGGCAGCAGGCTCCTAGGTAAATATGTTGATTGCAGTGAGTTGTGAGATGACAAAAGACCATGTAGGATTTTGTAGGACCAAGAACAAGTGTTCTGTGAGAAGTGGCTAACATACATACTAACACAGCTAGGTAAAATAGTGGAATACTCTGGCATAATAAAAGAACATTAATGCAATCTTTCAGTATCATTAGTATCCTTGGCTCAGAAGAATTCGACATCCATACCTTGCAGATGCAGGGACCTATGCAAGGATCATCATTTTCACTGCCCTCAAGGGAGCAGTTGCAGGGCAGGCAGTCAGGATATCCTGTATAACCCAAGGCACAGCGATCACAGCTTTCTCCTGCATAGCCAGTCTTGCAGTGACAGAAACCAGGCAACAAATCTATGAGAAGAGGGAGAAAACATGTTTCATTTGTCATTATTATTGTCAGATATGCGTGTTAGAGTGCTCAAGGCAACACCTTTGGTAGGTTTAATGTAAGGGGGTGTTTACTGCTGCTCACACCACCATCTATAACTCAGAGTCGTCTGAGAGAGGCTAGAATGAGCAATGTAAGAATAGGGCAAGTATACAGTTATTTGAATTCTGAGTTTCCAGAAATCTGCATAGTAGAAATCTTGAAAATCAAAACATATCCCTACTTCCTTGCATCTAACAGTCCCTAAAAACCTTCTCTTCCATCAATTCATCTAAAGGCCTCTCAACATGCTTTTACTTTCAGAATCCATAAGGCTCCCTGGCAGGGAATTTCACATTTGGCTAAATCATTTCACTTGTATAGTGTGAAAAAAAACACTGCTAAATCTCTGTTTACTGCCATCTAATTGTCATATCATAGAAAAGAGCAAGTAACCATTCAACTTTATCCATGTATCTGTGATTTCAATATACATCTAGTAAATTCTTAATTCGTACCCCATGAACTCCTAAATTTACTCAGTATCTCTACATAGAAAGTGCTTGGTATGGCCAAAAACTGCTGCTGTCTTTCTCTGCACTGTTTCCATTTCTTATAAATTATTTCAAAAGGGAGTGCATAATGCAGATTGGATTTTCTGATGATTTTTTTTCAGTTGTTTTTTTAAAAGAACAGTAATATATCCTAAGGCCCTGTTGATGTTCTTGACTACTGCTGAAACAGAACTGAGTTGACAGACCTGAGGCACAGTCCGAGGTAATTCCAAGAACTGTTTCACTGCTGGTAGTGCCTAATTCAGGAATCACCGCAATCACTGTATGCAAGTAGAACTACTTTTCTCAGTGTTCTACTTTCCCTGTAATTGCTACAAAAATTCATCATTTATTTTACTACCCAGCCACTGACTATCTTGAGATCCTTCTGAACATTTTGCAGTTCATACATTTTTCTCTGCTGAAAGATTTTGTACTTGCTAACTTTGTCACCTTCCTACTCATCCCTTCTCCAGGTTAAATATGAATATTTTGAACAGTTCATATTGATCATCAGTGTGAAAATGGTCCATTTATCCTTTTAACCAAGTACTAAGACATGAAAGAACCTTTTCTCCTTATTCTATTACACTTTCCTTTGTGGATTTTGGTAAAAGATCTTGTCAAAACCTTTTGAAAATCAAAATAAAATATTAATCAAATGAGCCTTTTTTCACATACTCATTTAATCCTTCAAACAGATTCACAAGGCAGACTGTCCTCTACATAAAACCCCTAGTCTTGGGGTTTTTCCCATTTTTTACATTTGAGAAATGGTATAAATCCTTTATTGTAATTCTAGTAATTTCCATGGAACAGAAACCAGACCTTCTGATTCTAGTTTCCTGGAACATCCTGTCTTTCTTTTGGATAAACAGTGTCTATTTAATATTAATGTCTGTTCTAAAAAATATTATAAGCTATATTTAATGCCTCATGCAACTCAATTTTCAACTACTCAACTCATCCTGAAGCCATGGATAAATATGCTATCTGCCTGACAAATTTTGATTCTGCATTTATCAGCTGGCTCTAAATCTGACACTTCTGTTTGAGGCAGTTCTTCTGATTTGTCCCCATGAATGAAGACTCCCAAGTGGGAAATTCCCTGAGCTATTCTACTCACTGTTAAAAAGAATTAATATAACCTTTCTGCTGTGCCCCCTTCTTTCTTGGAATGTCCATTTTTAAGTAGATTACACCTAAACCACATTTATCTTCTACTGCATTTGAATCTCTAGCAGTCTGTTTGATTCTGAAGTGTCTGAAAAAGTACCTCTTAGCAACATCTAAGTATTAATCAAATTATTCCTTAAAATATGTGTATTTATTATTAAGAGTACGACTTTCTGGAACCTGTCACAATATATATTCTTTTCTATTATCCTCAGTTAGAAATAACTTCTGATTTTCAGTGAGTTTTTTACATTGTTTAAATAGACACACCTTTTTTGTTGTTGTTGTTAGCTTAATTGCATTGCTTGAATAATAATGAACCAGAGAAATGCATCTTCTCGGAATGTCTAATATGCAGTCTATAAACCCTAAGCTTGCCATTAGCAGTCTTGGACCGTTCATTTTTATTTTCCTTTTATAGATTTCCTTGTTTTGATTAAGTTGTTTTTCAGGGAGGCATTCTCATTCCTACAAGAATGTTGAATTTGACTGCCCTTCAGGAGGACGAGTTTTAAAACAGTCCCTCATGCATAAATCCAGAGGTGCTTTGCCTTTTTATGGCTTCTCTAACTAGCCATTTGAAGAAGCAGCCACCTACAGGAGTTTTAAATTATATTATCTGTTAGTCTATACAGAGGTGAAATTCAATCTGTCTACTCTAAGTTTGAAGCAACTTTGATCTCCTGTAGCACATCATACCAACTGTCACCTTCTTGATCTGTCCTAATTATATACAGAATTTCAGTGCATGAAATTTCTGTTGCTTCCTATCTCAAAGTGATGTGCTCCATGGGTTTTGATGCTTTTGGCTCAGCTGATTCTCAAATTTCTGAATTATTCTCCTCTCAAACAGCTACCATCAAGGCCCTGCAGCACAGCAGGACACAAGCTTTTGTAATCTGGGTCAATGCATCCTAACTGGACAATCTGGAACAGAGAAACTTTTGTTCCTTCCAAATGAAAATAGCAGGCTATACTCCAGGGTTCAGCAGTAAGAGACATAGGCAAGTCTTTAGACTTTAGAAGTGAGACCACCTCATATTAAAGCTTCAGGAACTCATGTCTCATAAATCAAGCCTCAGAAAGCTCAAATTCAATTACATGGCTCAGTATGGTGCTCCCAAATACTAACTAAAATCTATAGTCTCTCCTCCATTGCCCAATCCATCCATTTTTTTAGTTCCCCAACAAGAACGATCCCTTTCCTGCTCTTCCTTTCTGTGCAATTATTGAAAACTCTACTGTCACCAGCCCAGCTCACCCCATTCTCATACAGCACACACAGGTACGGATAACCCCAGCACAACGCTTACCAAGAGACCTCACTCTCCTCATGAGAGAGAGGAAGGCAGGCCACTGCTACCTATCAAACATTCTTCCAGCTCTCGAACATGTTGATACAGTTAGTCTGTGTACTTGATTTGGCTCCATGCCTTCTTTCATTTACAGCCCTTGCAAGATCTCAGCTCTCCCTGTGTCTACACTGTGTTTACACAGAGTGCAAACTCCTCTCAGCACCCCCCTGGTTATTTTTGATGAGGCTGCTGTGGTGCATCTGTAATGTACATTATGTCAACAGTCTGACTACTTTCAATTTAGGGCAGATATTTCAGGTCTTTCTCTTGCTTTTGTTGTAATTAACTGATATTTCAGAAGAAGGACATCTTTTGCTTTTGGTCTGTGATTTCACAGGTCTTGTTTGAATGGGGCTTTATTTGATGAAGCCGTTATTTCCTGTTTTCTGCCTGTATATTATCAGTTTCTGTCCTGTCTTTCAGCATACAGAGGCTTTGAAAATGCACCCTAGAGGATGAGTCATCTTGAAATCTGAGTTTTACCAGTTAGTTTTTCCTAGCCTAGCAGTCTTTAAAAACTGCACAAAAATAAATGCATGCAAAAGCATGAACCAGATCCTTGAAAAACCTGCGATTCTAGGAGTGGCCTCCTGTCACTTTCACTCCTGATCAACAGTGTTTAAATTTCAAAAATAATTTCATGGAAGTCAGTGGGACTGCATGCTGAACAAAACCTGAATAAAGATAGAGATGTCTGGATCTTACTTACCCTAAAGGGTCTGAGGACTTTTTCAGCAAAAATAAACATCTGTCATTGGGATTATATTGTACATAAAGAGGCAACAGGGGAAAAATAGCATGCCTTGAAGACTGAGTCACAAAACTTTGCCAGGTTCCAAACCTGTCAGTTCTTGCAGCTGATTAAGATCTAGGTAAAATGGCTATTTGTTAAAATCTAGCCATTAGAGCTTGAAACAAGAGTACCAATTCATGGAGAAAGCCTTAATTACTGGAGTACAGAGTAGTTTTAAATGGCTGGACCTTTGCTTCTGTATGGAAAACTGCAATATCAGCAATGGTCAAATTTAGCAATTAGGATGAATTGAACACAGATGGAAAACTTCAGTTTTAGAATTATGTCCTTTCAGTTACAAAACCTAAAGTCATCTTCATCAGTTTATTTTATGATTGATTCTAAGCTTCTCTTTTTTATATTTCTCACTAACATATTATATAGGATTTTTGTGAGAGAATACTTAAAAAGCATTCTTGAAGATTCAAAATCAAAAATACCCTTTACAAGCAATAATAATACTTGATTTTAGACTATTGACTGAGATACGTGAGGACAAAGAGATCAAAATGGAAATTATACATGAGATACAACAATACTGCTTTCTTTCCTGAAACAATGAATGCTATATTATAAAGCAGCTTCTCTATACCCTTCTCTTATCCAGCAAAACCTGATTATGACTACAGGATGCAGTCATTTAAATCCTCTTGATGCACTTCATCAGTGCACCAGTTATTATAGTATTTGCTACAATTTTCCATTTTAATTGCCGCTTACCTACTGTATTCAAGAACAGAGAATGTACAGCCTCCAGCTTTATTTTACTTGAGAACTGTTCACAGTGGCTCTGTATCCCCAGTGATGTTCCTTACTATCATATTTCCATTTAATTTTAATGTCTTTTACCTTTTCAAAGCATTTACTTAGCACACATTTGAAAAGGATATTCCCATCCTACACCAAGCAAATAATTTATCCTCATCCAACCAGCCAGTGACTCTTCAACCCACCTAGAGTGTTCATTCTGGTTTACTGGTGAATATGGATTCCTTCAAACAGATCATGCTTTCCACCCTTTCCTTTATGAACACTCACCAGTGCTTCAAACCCAATTGCTGCCCAGGGTGAGCAGCACGCAATAAAACGAACACTATCAGTGTACTGAATACAAATGCGAGCGGGAAAAATGGGAAGAAGTGATCTGTTTTCAGGATAGTTTTATGCTAAAAATTATATCCAGACTCACTCTTGATTCTAAAACAACCTCTTCTGTTACCACAACAATCTTTTCTTCAAAGAAATATTAGAAAGGCTTTTCCTTTCAAATGGAATTATTTTGTCTTTTTTTGTTGAATAAGGCATTACAGTCACGAATATGTGACCAAGCAAGAAGTAAACAGCTTTCCGAATGTGTGGAGCCTTATTTAGTAAAACTAAAAAAAAAAAGGGCAAATAAACAGTAAGAACAAAGAGCAAGTCCATTGTAGACAGAATAGCTGTGATGGCCAGATATATGTAGACGTGGTTTATTTTTGTTGTTGTGGTCTTAAAACAGGCAAACAATAAGATGGATATCAAAATTATCCTCTGGCTACTGTCCAGACAATGCAAAGTGTCTGCTTCTCACTAGACTTCCAAGACTGGGCAGGACACAGACAACTGGTCTCAAGAACAAATGCACAGACTACTTTGGGGAGGGAATTCCATATATGATGGCAGTTTTATCTAAACAACAATTTTATCTAAACAACAATTGTCCTTGTCACATATAAGAATAAATAGTTTAAACACACAAAATAACCTCTACAGTAAATAACTTGGGAAGAGAAGGCATCAATGAGTTTAGAAAGGAATAAAGGAAAAAAAATTCTTTATGTGTTGCTAATAGCAGATTCAACAGATATTAACATGTTCAAAAGCAACAGGCCTCCAATTAACTGCAGCAGCATGAGGGAGTTTCAGGAAGATGAGGAGAAGCTGGTTACAATCAAGTCAGAAAAAGATGAGAATTTTCATTTAGTGAAGAGAACAAACAATCTCTGGGTTTTGGGACTGGAGAAACTAGAGCATTCAACAGCTTCTTTGAATGCCTGGGGCCAGATGAGCTGGACTGGCTACTGCTATAAAAGTAAAAGGTGGAAAAGCAGAAAAATAATCCAAGATGTTACCTTCAACATGTTAGCATGACATGTTTCTTGATTTTCTAGAAAAACATAGTTTATAATCCAAACAGGAGCTTGATTCTCTTCCTAGAGATACTCAGAAATGAGGCAAAAGAAGAATTTGCCAGGAAGATCATAGCACTAAAAACGCAGAACGAGACATAGCAAGGTGTCAAAGCACAGTACCACCTTGTCAGATTCAGAAAGTGTAAGCAGATTTAGAGAGCAACTATGAGATAGTTTAGATCTGCCGAATGCTCAGAGGCATAAGACATTTTGAGAGCTCCTAAGGACACCATTACTGAAACTAGATGGAAAAACGTCTCTCTCTTTTTGCTTTCCTCTTGCAAGAGAGGAGTTGGCAGCTTGTTAAGTGCTGATCAGCTGCCACACCCCAGGAGGATGACCCACACCAGGGGCTGGAAAAGGTATGAAAAGAGAGACTGCAGCAAGGACTGGAGTGAGAGACCAAGCATCTATGTAACATGCAAGTGGGGCATCACGTTTTTTGGAATTAATCATTCCCCATCTCAAAATCACAGTCCAAGACGTTCCTTTGTTGCACTATCTGTCATTTGTAACCTGTTTAAGTCTCACCTGCAGGCTTGGTACAGGCATTGGAGAGTCTTGCTGTGTTTTTGCCAGCTTTGGGATTCATCTTCCCTTCTGCTGGTACTGTCTCTCATATCACTCCATGTGATCCTGCATGTGATACTGCACTGGGTATCCATGCCCAGGTGCTGGCAGCAGGGAGGGGGCTGCAAGGGCAGCCTCTGTGAGGAAAAGGATAGGGCTGCTCTGCGCTAGACACAGCCAGCTCCCAACAGGGCACACAGGAGTGTCAGAACAGAACTGCTATGACTCCTGCTTGCCATCACCCTGCATCACTTGTGGTAGTGGGGGAAGAGATAGAGGAGGAGTCTGGAATGAAGAAGTAAGTTTGAGTCTGGGGGAAAAAAAAAATAAGGTGGCAGAAGAGGTGTATTTTTAATATTTGTCTATGCTTATCACTACCTGAAACTATTTAAATTGGCAATAACTTAACTTTCCCCAAGTAAAGTTTGTTTTGCCCAGGATGATAACTGGCAAATGATTTCCTGGTCTTTACTTTGGCCCATGAGCTGCTTCATCTTCTGTTCTGCCCCTGTCCTGCTGAGAAGGGCAGTGAGAGAGTGGCAGAGTGGGCAGCTTCAGCGGGCCAAGATTAACACAGCAGAGATACCCCTGGGACAGTAAATCAGTATCATTTTATTGAACTGATGCAATCAGTACATGGTTATTACAGTAGATTATGGACCCTGTCTTTGCACCTTTGCTATGTTGCTTTTATGTTCTATTGATCTCTGTTTTAAAGGATTGCTACATCTCATCAATAGATTGTAATTAGCCCAATCTATAAATCTCTTAAAAACCGACCTTGAGATTTGTTATCTTCCTACAGTATTTTCACATGTTTTACAATGAAAGAACCAAAAAATATGGCAATTCATTGTTTCTAAAGCCCAATGACCAGTTCATTGTCTATGTGAAGACAGCTTTTACAGGGCTATGGTAAGCATCTTGTAATCTTACATGAATAACACAGAAAGCAAATAAATACCTTTCAAGAATACCTTTTAGATTTCAAATGGAAATATGCTTAAATAGGAAAAGATATTATAATATCGCTGTTGCATGAGTTTTAATCTCCATGGTAAAAGAAGAAAGCTCTTTAATGCCAAAATTCTTCAATATTTTCCACTGGGAATATTCTTCCAAAAATACACAAGTTTCCCAGCCATGAATATGAAAGAAGCCTCAACAAAGTGGGAATATGAGTTTAAAAAAAAAACAAGAACAAAAAAAACCCAAAAACAACAACAAAATTTGGCTGGATTACTGTTTACATGAGTAAAAATTTAAAAAAAGAACCATAACAAACCAAAACCAAACCTTCTGTGATTTTTTCTTGTTAAAGATACCAAAAATATGATTCATCATTTCTTTGACCGTTGCTGAACTTCATCTTTAACATCCATATACTTGAGGGATCTTACCTCCTTCCACATGTTTCTCATCCTTGACACAAGTATCATTTAAAGACCCATTTGGATCACAGGAACATGGCTGACAGGGATCTGGGTTATCTGGCAATACCTATAAAAATAAAGATGTTAGAAGAAAAAACCTTACCTTCAATAATTGGAAACTTTAATTTACAAGTTAAATAAAAAAAGAGAGAACGGTTTCTGTGTAGGTGGCTTACACTTCAACAAAAATGAGACAGTTGATAAACTTAGTCCATGCAGACTACAACCAGAAAAAAAGGCCTCAAATTGCACCAGAGATTGGATATTATGAAAAATTTCTTCACAAATAGGGTTGTCTAACACTGGAATGGACTGCACCAAACAGGGTGGAGTCACCATCCCTGGAGGCATTTAAAAGATACATAGATGTGGCACTCAAGGACATTGTTTAGTGGTGGACTTGCCAGTGTTAGGTTAAGGATTGGACTCAGAGGTTCTTTCCAAAAGAAATTATTCGAGGTTTGGTGGTTCTATTAAAGTTAAATTTGGGGTTTTTATTTAACAATACGTAGTGACACAGACGCAAATATGTCTTCAACTGAAAAAATACCAGGTGTAGAGATTGTAACGGAACTTTATATAATTAAAATCAATAAATGCAATGAGTAGATTTTAAGCATTTACTAACCAAAGCAATACTGACAAGATCAGTTGTTCTGGTCAGCATGATTCAAAAAACCAACCAATGTTAGTTAGTCAGTAAGAGACCAAAAATGTACAAGTGTTCCATTAAACAACAGAACAATTTCCTTTTGTTCTTGAGAGGTTACCTCAACCAAATTTAAACCTTGGTCTAATATCATATTAGGAATATAAATTAGAAGTTCTGCATGAACTAGATATATATGCATACTGTGGATATACTACACAGACACACACATATATATCAAATCCGTTTTAGCTGGATGATAACTTAAAACAGAGGAAAAAAAAATCAATAAGTGCCATGTTGCTGAAGAAATTGTTTCTCAGTACTCCTTTACTCAACTTGTAAGGCTAAATCTAGTCTATCAGGGAAAACGTAATTACTGCTATTTGCTGATGTTTTCTCTTTGAGGATTGAACACCAATCAGACTAAAGGCTATTATTTACCCAACTGAAAATATACAGATGAAATATAAACAATTCAAGCACAGGCTAATAGTGTAGCTGTCTAAAGCACAGGAATGGCCCATATTGACAATACAACCTCATATAAGATTCATCTTTTGACAGCTTCCACTTAGATGAAAATACAGTCTTATATGATGAAATACAAAAAGCAATTTCTACTGCACTGAAGTTTAAAGACATTCAAGAAAAACTACGGAATTTCAGTGCTGATTAATTCTACATTGCATTTAAAAAATAGAAATTACATTCTCTCTTTCATCAATATAAAATATAGCAATATTTCTTTGAACTTTGATAATAAAACTTGAAATTCATTACTGAGGCAAAAGTTCTGTTTACAGGACCACATCCTCTTTTAAATGAAATTGAAATACTAGCTGGAGGCCCTGACCTCAAGCACATTCCTTCATATTAACACAATTCACTTTCCTATTTCTCTGAGCGTTAACTTTATACATTTCCAGCAATGAAGATCAACCGCTGCACTGTCAGATTTGGGAGTTAACCCTCACAAAATGGCAGTCCAAACTCTTTTTAGTAACCTAAGTTGTTGCCCCGCTGAAGTGATGGTTTGAACATCAAGCCTTGCAGCGCAGGGTGGCGGGAGCAGGTGTTTACCCCTTTTGGTCTGAAGTAGCCGTCCAGACAGGTCTCGCAGTTTATGCCACTGGTGTAGCCTGAGCAATTCACACACACTCCGCCCCCGAGGTACTCCCCGTGGATATTCAAACTCTCATTTCTGTCTGCCACACCCTGATCGTAGTAACACTCCTCAGTCTTCCCGTGACAGTTGCATGCTGAAAGAGAAGGAAAGAGTTAGCAAATATTTTCCCACTGGGGATGCCCAGAAAAGAGCCATTCAATATTTTATCATTGGTTCTGTGTATATTGTAAAAGCATGCCCAAACATCCATTTACTACTTCATTTGTGAAAGGCAACGCAGTCCCATTACAAACACAGCCTGAAATTCTCTATGTTGGTTGTGTTTTTTCTCCTCAATATTTTGTCTTGAGGAGTACAGACACAGTCTAATTATGATGTTCCTGGTTTGTTTTAGTTTGTTTGACTTTTTTTTCCTGTTTAAAATTGATAGCTAGGAAACATTTTGGGGGTTGCATACACATACGGTTCATGAGAGGGTCATCTAAATTAAAGTACAAGAGGAGTTATGAGGAAAGTAGCACAATGGTATGAGTAAATTAAAGTAATTCAAATAAAAGCTGAAAGGCATCCTAAAAACATCTCACTTGCACATATGCATACAAGAATTGGGGCAGAACAAAGGGATTCCCAGTCTTAAATGTTTTGACATTTATATCTGAACTCTAGACTTCAGGTCCAAATACGGGAAGATAATCTAATGATCTGCTGCAGTGAAAATGAGGTAGCTCACTATCCCTTTCCCCATGGTATTAAAACATTCATTCCATCACAAAGAGAAATTCAAAGCTTATCAATGTTAAGCTCTCCAACGTTGTGGGGAGACATTCTCTTTATATCTGAACCAGATCCCAGCGAACTTTTTCCACCAAGACAGTACAACAATTCACTGAGTTGAACAGGGTGTAAATGTCTCTTAAAAAGTAAACATGAAATTAAATGTACCCTGCTTTCATTCTTCAATGCATTCCCAGTTCAGACTGTCCCAGACCCAACTAAAACAAAGATCTCTGTAACTCAAGCTTACAGGACACAAATAAGCAATGGCTATTCTAAGTATGGGCATATCTGATTATTTTTATTTATTTTTAATCACTCATGATAAAATTATAGCTGAAATCCTACAAATAAATAAACCCTTAATGTAATGGAGCATTAGATTTTATTATGTTCAGAAATAGTGGTATGTGACCTTTGGAAGTAAGATGTTAAAGTTCAATTATAACTACCCTTACTACAATAAATCTGAAAATTCAATTCCCACCCTGTGGGAAGTTGATATTTCAAGGTATGTTTTCATTCCATGTTGGAAAACTAGATACATTGTATTTTCTGTTAAAGAACATCAGACACTCAGCTTGTATTTTGAGCATAGAAAATAATTTGTTTTAGCAAATATGAACATTATAACATATAAAAGTGTCATTTATAAGAAATCATGCCAGTAAAGTTTCATATAATGAAAAACCTGTAAAGAGATTTTTGTACTTACCGGGGTGTAGCCTTGTTATTTTATCAAAACAAAATCATCATGATTATAAAAACTACACAAGATGATTTTTTTTTTAATATAGCATTCCTGAAATATCACCATGTTACAATAAAATACCCTGAGTTCAATAAAACCACAACTCTACATGTAATTTTTCTGCTAAGTCTTTTGAGTCAGTCTAATTAAGTGAATAACATCACATCAAATGCCATTCACAAACCAATGTGGTTAGAAACCAAATTAACTGCAAAATCACATAGGACCCAATTTCAGTTTTCAGCAGCAGTTGCAATAAATTTTCTCCTGTACTGCCTTCAACTTACGTTCACATTCATGCTTATGCAGGAGAGTGCCAGCATGCCACGGCTTTTGATGGAAACCAGGACAACACTGATCACATGTCTCTCCGCATGTGTTGTGCTCACACTGACAGACGGATTTCTAATTGAAAAGAAAAACAAATATTTACACAATGAGATGATTTGAAGAATCTGTCCATGTATGTAATACGCATTCCAGTTCAAATTATGAAAACATTAAGAATGGCTCTACTCTGTAATTCCTTTGTTTATTCATTTATGTATCCTGGATTCACCAAGTACGTTTAACTTCTATAGCTCTATCTGAAGAAAACAGCCACAAAGCAAAGGAAGATAGTTGGCCAGATAATCTAAAGAGAATCTAAGAATGCAGGAGAATTTAATTCCAACTGGATAAAGGAGGATGGAAAGTTCCCTAATAAAACAAATAAGCCAAAGTACAGGTAGCCTTTGGATACAGGAAAATGGATCTGACCCCTGAAGGAGCGACCCATTCTCCACCCTTCCCTTTGATACAGCAGTTCTGCTGCTGCACAATGAAATCAATTCTGTTGGCTGATGCAATAAAAATTGCCTTTTTTTAATACTTTGCTATTATTTTTTGACTGGATAAGTCAATTTATCATATAACCTTCCAACTGTGTAACTAATTCTATGGGAAGGATAGCAGGAGTGTTTAAAGTAATAATAGATGAGCACAAGTCCAGCCTTTCAATCCCTTTACAAAAGTGACTTTCCCCACAAGATCACCTTAGTCCCAGCATGAAAATATTACTGTAAGAAACACTCAAACTCCCTGAGCCACAGAGGCAGCTTGAAAAAAGTAAAACACCCACAGTCTGAAGAAATGAAAATTAAAAATTGCCTTCTCGATAGTTATTTAGTGGAGGGGATCCTCTGTGGTCCTTGTGAGGCCGTACAAGGTCAAACCAGCTAGGCAGAGAAACTCCATGGCTTACAGGACAAAGCATAAATCTTGCAAAACAAAGCTAACTCAAGGACTGCTTCAGAAAATCATGGCAATATGTTCCAGAAAGTTTGCTCCTTGTAATGTTAAGGGAAAGATTCTTTCTCTAACAAGTACAGTCATAATGTTGATAAGCCTATTTTGGCATGGCTCAGTCTAAAGAATATCCCTGGAAAGCTAAACCTCCAAATCTCTTCTGGCTTGAGCTATGTCACATACGGTATTTTTTATACTGGTCAGACAACATCAGATACGTATTTGACGTTGTGCAAAACAGGACATCACACTTGTCAAAATGGCTTTATTTTATCTAGTAGCTAAATTATCTGAAGTACGTATTGATCTCAGTAGCAGCACTTATTTTCCGAGGCAGGCCTGATTCTATCAGATGGCACAGAGACAATGCTGCACTTTCACCACTAAGGGCATCTGAAACTAGTTCAACACTTGCTGTACTATCATTACAGAAAACTCTCAGAAGGGTTAAACCAAGGAGTTTGCTCAATTTTTACAAAGATTCATAGAAATTGCTTAGAACTCTAAATGTATTCTCTATAAGATTTTGTCATTTCTTTAAATGATTTCCTACATAATGGCTTAATGTCACATACAAACAAGATTTTCAGTTAAATCCTGTAAAGCTCCTACTTAAGTGAGTAGTATATGGAGAGATCCCACACTGTGGCATGTAGTATGAATAAACAGGAAATTCAGTATTAGTGATAATGTGTGCCTAGAGTTGGATAATCAGTAACAAATTATATTTCTGTATTAATTGTATTGGTTATATTTTGATTGTACTGGTTATGTGCAAAAAAAGAGAGTTACAAGTTGAAAGATATAAATAGCTCATGATTTTCTAGATTAGCTTATCATTCAATTGATACTTCCAACACAGCCAATGCACCATTCGAGAGCCATCATGTGTTTGCAAGCATCAATTAAATATTTGACAATTATTTAGGCAACATCTTGATTAACATCAAGAAGGAAAAGAAAGAGTGTTAGTGCTCATTTCTGCAGCTACATGGTGTAACCCAGATTTCTGTTTTTCCTAGGAAACTTCCTATATGAATTATCTGAAACCTATTACTTCATTTCAGGAAAGCCTCTGCTGACACTGTATGAATGTTTATTATTCTGGCTGCTAGCACTGTTTCATTCTGGCACTGCTTCTAACGGTTCTTCTAGGTGAAAAACAGACATAAATTCACAGAATGCTGAAGAATATCAATATAAGGGTTGTTTTTTTTTTCCCCCTCATGTTCCAGCCTATAAATAAGGCACATTAGGAAAAATAAAAAATAAAAAATACATACATTGGTCACTGGATCCAGTGGACAAGCCTTCGCATGGCCTGAACATATACACATGCCTCCAACGGAGATGTCTTTTATAGAATAGTAATACTGTAAGACAAAACAGAAATTGAATTGCTAAGTGGATTCTAAAATGCAGGTGCCAAACCGCAGAATTCATTTCTTGTGACAAAACTGTCAGGTCCTGTTTTATTTCTTTTTTGATCTATTACAAATATAGCAGACAGTGTAATCCAAGCCGTGTCTTGATCAACAGATTCAGGCTGAGTGAAAGAAAGGGTGTAAATTGGCACAGTTCCATTTGTTTGAAGTCACAAAAGCCATGTCAATTTATACACAGCATACAAAAACATGAGAATAGGAAAGGGCTATATGCACACGGGATAATGAAAAGTCAAATGCTATAGAATTTATTCCCTTCAGAAAATATGAAAAGGAAAAGGCATGATGATGGGAAGAGGAGAAAAGCTAGGAAAAAGCCTATGAAACACCTTTGTTCACCTTAGCTGAGTTTAATTTGGGCATTCACTGAACTGTGGAAAGAAGAACTGTTTTTCACTATTGGCCTTTTGAATGATCATGAAACAGTCTTTATTACTGAAATTGAAGTATTTTTGACCTGTTTTTTTGCCATTTGACCATTTCTCTTTTTTCTTTGGTAAGGATTAAGAGCCCTAAGCAGAAAGAAGGATAGAAAGATATTCATAATCTTATATCACAAAGCCTGTGAAAACTGAATCTCATTCATTGCCTTCTGTTTCAGCAAGGGTCCTGCAACAAACTCACAGCTGGCTAATCAAACAAAACATATGCTATTTGCAAATTTTGCTATTACAGTATTCAACCTCTTTATCAGATCATGAATAAATATATCACACAAAATGAGAACTCTTATCAGTCCCAGTAAAATTTCCAACACAAAGAAAGTGAAAAATTTGTGGCTACCCTCTGTTTCCTGACAGGGATGGCAAATTTCAGTTGCTCCTTAGTCCTTTGAGGACAGCCTCATGGAGACATGCCACACAGAAGTTACAGTTCTTTGCTGGTTTAAGAAATCAGTGTATCATCCTGCACTCAGTTTTCATGAGTTTGGAGTAATTTTTCAAGTGTAATTCAGCTCTGTTTTTCTATTTGCTTAGAATCAGATTACTAAATGACCATTTTTACATAAACACACAGTATTCATGATTAGTGAGGCTGCAATAACTGCACTCAGCTGGAAGGGATTCTGGGCTTGTAATTCAAAACAAAATGGCTTGTTCCAAACTTTCAGAAACAGCCAGCATTCTCTATTTAGACAAGGAAATGGAAACCAGAAGTGGAGAACAGAAGAAGAAAATTTTATTAGCACTTATTCATCATTGACATGACATTATGAAATGATATTAATTACAGACAAGAGTAATGATATTCCTCCCTCATAACAGGTCTTACTTTTGTTCTGGAAAGTGTAGGTTACCACTATAATATGATGACCAGCAGGAAGAGGAAGTGAGGTGAAAAAACAAAAAGGAACATAAGTCCCTCAAATCAGTTTTGAAGAATGCTTTGTCGAAAAATCAGAGGAAAACAAGAATAATACATTTGCATACACACATTTACATATGTAAAACATTTGATCAGCAGGACAACAGGGAAATATGGCTTAGAAAGGAATTAAAGACTGCAGAAAGAAGAGACAGGCATGTGCACACACAGGGCACAGTGGTAGAGACCAGAGTATGGGTATGGTGAGAGTTTAAATGCTGTATCCATTCTTTTATGCTAAAGCAAAACACAAAGTGTTTACTGCTACCCTCAATATACGAAAATACTAAAAGCATTGCATTCAGGCCTTACTACTATAGTACAATTAGAAATTCTACTCAAAGGGAGTGTTCAAGGCATATTAAAGGTAGCAAAGGATTGAGTAGAAGAGGCAAGAGATACTAACAGCAAACATTTGCCAAATACCTACATCCAAATGTTTTCAGTCAAAGGATCTGGGTGTTTATGTCAATAACACCATTAAGCAGAAAAGGTAAAATTGTTAATTCTGCTCTAGAAAAGATAACAAAATAGAGTGAACAGGGAATTCTCCAACACCGGGATTTTGAAAGATAGCAACAGGTAATCATCATCTCCCAAAATTCTCTATGGCAAACAAAGGCAGGTACAGCACTTACAAGTGTAAGAGAACTTCAACATGTGCCTTTCTATTGCCTTGCTAGAACTTACCCTCCTTGTAACAATGGGATCAATTTCAGCTGGATCTTTGTGTGCAAACATCATTAGATCAGCATTTAGTGTCCGTATCCTCTGGAATCTCAGGCGAATAAAGCGAGCAGAGGTGAATTCCAGTAATTCACGTGATGGATCATCAGCGCTGGGTCGTCCATTAATTAGAGAAGTGTGAATCTGAAGAATTATTAAAGCAGTAAGGATTACATTACATTACATCAATGTTGTCACAGTTAGGCCAGCAAATATAATTACAGGCATTGTGTGAATGCATTTGTACATGCAGAATAACTTCTTTCATTTGAAAGTACATTTTCCCCAAAATATTACATGTGTCCACAGGCCTCAGCTATGAAGAGTCTTCATAATAAAAACATTTAGAGCAAAGGACAGTCATCAGCTACAAAAAGACTGAAGCACAAACTGTGTATGTGTACCCAGGCCCTAAAACAGTGTCCATGCTGCAGGCAATTCACTTCTCTCCTAGTCTGAGAATAGGTAATCATACAACCAAACGGGTTCAGAAATCTTGAGTTAAGGGAATGTATACTTGGAATGGGATTCAGAATTCAACAGGGGTCAGTTTGCACCTCTTGGAGTGATCATCATCAAAAGGCTTTTGAACTTTTGAAATACTGAAAACTACTATGGCTAGATGAGACAAACTCAGCATTCATAAGCACCTCTCCTTTCCCACTTTCTCTTTACACATCTTCTTTGAATCTTTTTCTCAGCAAGGTGAAACAATTTCCTGGGTTGCAACAATTTTCACCAGGTCCCTGAGGATAGTCTTTATCACTTCTGAGAACTTTGTTTAGCATTTGTTTTTCCAAAGACACTTCCACTCTCTGCCTACACTGTGGTATCTGTAAAGATTACCTCCCCCTTTCTCTGCCCGCCCTATCCTAAGGTCTAGAAATCTTCTAGGTAAGCTCTGAGGCTCCTTCATAGAAACTTTCCAACCTCAACTGAAGCATCAAGGGTAAGGCAAACAAAAATAAGAGATCTTCTTCCCCTCCTGTCTTTGTAGCTGGTCATGGCACACATTAGCTCTGAATCAACTAAATAAAGCAGATGGGCTGCTACAGAACAGTTCTTGGAAAAGGCCTACAAGAAGAAGCATGTCAAGTATAGGAAAATACTGTTAATGAGCACCTAGAGGGAGAGAGGAAAGAAACCATTAATTTTCCTGTATCCTCAAGTGTTAAATTTTAATTGGGGCATTTTTATTACAGGCTGGTACAATGAAAGAATGTTCAGATGCTAAGCCAAATGTGCAGAACATTGGAATGAATAAGTGAATTATTTATTCTTTGCAATGAACATGTGTCACCTCATACCTCAGCGCTCTGAGTGAGCGGTCAGGCCACACAGCCATTTCCTATCATTGAACATGGTCATTTCGCTGCTGGTTTAGGCAAACAGCTGCACTCCAAACACCAGCTGGCACTCACTCAGCAGTGGCTGCCTCACACTGAGGAAAGAGACTGTGAATCTACTGCTCCCAGGAAAGCAGCAGCTCTTGTTTCCTGGAGTTTTTGGAGGTGCTGGATAGACTCACTGAACAACTGCTGTCTTGCACTGCCTATGTGATACTACCAACTCACTTATTTATCTCAAAGGCAGGTGTCAAGAAGATGGTGCCAGACTCGTTTCAGTGGTGTCAGGATCAATGGAGCAATGTCCCTAAACACAGGAAGTTTCATCTCAGTATTGAGGAAGAACTTCTTTACATTGACAGTGGCAGAGCACCAGCACAGGGTGCTCAGGGAGGTCATGGACTCACCCTCTCTGGAGACATTTAAAATCCACCTGGATGTATTTCTGTGTAACCTGCTCTGTGTGACTGCTTTGGCAGGGGGCTTGGACTAGATGCTCTTCAGAGGTCCCTTCCAACCCTAACAATTCTGTGATACTGTGATTTTTACTACTAAGAGAGAAATCCTAAACCTCATAATGTCCAGCATTCTGCTCCACCAAATCACTGGGAACCACTCTGCCAGGAGCAGCCATCAAGTATATCTTGCCTGTGTATGAATCAGCATCTCTGTGTTTCTGCCACATGTTATGTCCAGGAACAGGTGATATCACTACCTCCTACTCAGATCATACCAGGACAGCCACTGAGCTCTGACTCAGTTCTGCTCCTGACTACAAGTAACTAAAGGACACAGCTGGAAACAAACCCAATAAAATGCTATGAAAAAGACATGGTGCAAACAAAAGGTTATAATAAAAACCCCAGAGGAAGCAAGGAGGAGGTCCTGAATGAGACATGTCTGGCTGCAAATAGGACAAAAGCAGATGACCAGAGAACTACTCAAGTCCCTGGTGAAAAGAGAGAGAACATGTGTGGAGAGAAAACTTCAAAAGACGCCTAAAGAAGGTGGCAACAAGTCAAGTGGAAATTGACAGATCTTTCCAAAAGAAGGAGAATTTTAGCAAAAACACATGCCTAAAGATTTTTTTGCATAATATTTACTTGTGAGCAAGGAAACATACTTATTCGGAGTATTTTTTCACACCATCACTGTCTTCCTTTAAAACAGGATCCAAGAGATTTTTTTTTATACAGCCAGAAAACATACATGGGTTATGGTTTAAAGCAATAGAATACTAAACACTGAACTTTGATATTCCAGAGATAAAGAAGAAATAAAGCTAAAGTAGTGCCTTGCTCAATCTGATAGAACAACAGCATCATGGTGATAAGCAGCATGGCAATCTGAGTATCTATTCAAAAAGATAAAGTTTTTGGGGGTGGGGGGAGAAAGATGTAGGTGAAATCACATATCAAAGAAAGAAGGTGCCCACAGAGAGTTAGAAGTATTAATCACAGACACAGCTTGACCACAAATGACACAGTTGACAATCAGCAGTCACACCTTTTGATTATTTTAAAAACAACAAATTTGGTCTTAAAAATAAAACTAGAGGAATTAATTTTAGAATAGACCCTATTTTTGAAAGAATCTATCTGCCAGTAGTTCGTTCAGCTATTTGGCAAGGCTAATCTAGTAAGATGACGATTTCCATTTATGTTATCTTTAAGCTTTGTCTTTAAATGTTTTACAATTTCATTTAAAACAACAAACAATTAAGTTCACATAATTATTGAAATGCAGCTATGTCCTGCATGAAATATTGCAACTGCTTAAGTATGTACAGCAAAATGACACCACAACTAGAAAATTCAAAACTGGATAGTTTTATCAAAATGAATCTGAAAATTTTACACTGATAAAATTAATTACTCGAAATTTTCTCCTCCTATAAACATCTGTGATGAAATCATTCATTTCTTCCTAGAAATATTTAGAATCAACTTGAAAACTGTCCAAACAAGTTGTTCCTATTCCTTGAAAAGAAAATAAGGAAGAAATTAAGAATACTTTAGAAACATCTGTCATTAATCAGAAAAAAAAAAAGTAAGAATCTTAATTTAAAGAAGTTTAAATAGGTTTAGATTTACAATATTTTCAATATGACTCTCCCAATGAGACATCACTGAGTTTTTCCAGAGCACACTTACTCTCTTCATCTCCCTCCACTATCTTGCACCTGTTTGTAAGACACTGTTCCCAGGACAGCGTGTTCTCAATCAAGACTCTAACGTGGTCCCTGCCTCCAAGTATTTTTGAATTGGACTTGAAAAGTGTCCCAGTGAACACAATCCTCACTAAGCACCTACCACTGCGCCATATAAGATCATCACAGTGCTTCCTGTATAGCTCCTGTGAAGATTAGCCCCCTTCCACACATCAGCTACGGTGCTGATGGCCTGTGCACACTCCACGGTTCTGCAGCAGAGCAAAGATCCAAAGCTGAGTCTTCCAGGAAAATATTAATACTTTAATCTACTCATTGGGCTGCTGCAACTTGGATAATCCAAGTCCCCATGACAGCACAATGTCAAATTCTGTTCAGGTTTTTATTTACCATTTCCAAGACCGAAGAAATAATCATAATCTTGGATTCTAAATGGAAGATACTCAGATTTCAATTTAAGAAAACTAAAGAAAACTTTTCCTTAATGAGGCATTTGTCCATCACCATATTCCAACAAATGGAATCTTTAGGAATCTCTAAATTCCTAAATGTTAGGAATTTAGGCCAGAAGAAAATGGTTATGAAGGACTATAAGAAACAGAGCATTTAGACACTCATCCCTCTAATACAATATGATCACTTCCTCTGACTAATCAGTCTAAGGGCTTCCTGAGCTACAGCATGAATCTGACTCATAGCATTTAATGTCTAACAGTTCCCCTTTTCTGTATTTATAGCTCTACTCCCTTTTTCAACCAAGAAAATTTTCTTCTTAAAAAAAAAAAACAAACAACAAAACCCCAACAAAAGTAACTGTCTCTGGCAGGGTTATTCTTTGTTTGATTGTTTTCTTTTTCCTTCTAAACCTGGAACTCATAATTATTTAATTGAAAGTATTCTAATTTTTCATTTGAGAAAATTGTGAGCAGTCAACATCTTTTAATTTTTAAAATTCAGTATGATGATAAATCAACTTTTTCTTATCTGAGAACTGTGGAGGATATTACAAGTTCTCTGCTCTGAAGATAATTTAGTCTAAGACTAGCCCATCAGCATTCATGCATAATTCTTTTTACTTCATACATATATTACTTTGCTTTTAGCAACACTCATTTTCATACAGTACATTTCATGTAGTATCATAAGCTGCTAATAGAACAAATTATCTTAAATTTCATATTAACAACAAATGCTGCTATTACACAGTTTTCTGATTTTTTAGATTGCCTACAAGATTGTTGAACAACAGGGACACTACCAAATATATTCAAAGGGCATCTCGAGTACATTAGAATCCCTGGACCATGCCAGAACCTAAAGACCTATCCAGCTTGGCAGTCTGCCCCGTACAGCATCCAAGCCAGTATGCTAATAGTAAGATGAAGGCAAGCATACATAATACTTCCTCAGGGATTTGCTAAGCTATAGGTAGTTTCTATCTAGTAGTAGGTAGTTACATCTGGTAAGCCTCAAAAGATTTCAGTTTCAGTCTCACCCTAAATCCAAGTCACCTTTCAATATCTTCACCATCACTTAATTAGGATTTTCTCATCTCATTTATGTGTAGGGAAAGAGATCCTTCCTTTGCAATTTTAGATCTGACACATACTATGCTCTCTTAGTACTTC